GCATCCCTGCTGACTGCTGCATGCCAAGGAGTGGACATTACCTGCCTGAAGCTTACAAAGCACATCCAGAGCCCATTGGACATGAGGGTCCACAGCAGCCTGCTGGACTAAGCCTCTGAAGTGCATCTTCTACGTGCAGCAAAGACTGCTGCAAAAGCAGCACAAGGAGCAAAAGCAAAGGCTGCCTGGCAGGTTGGCATGAGGCCAGGGCATAGCTCTGCCATGAGCCCACCCACCCTCAGCACCTCAGCGGTCTGCAGAGTGAACGGGCAGGGAGGCACCAGAACTAGGCAGCACACCCTGCACCCAGCTGAGCCTCACTGCCTGGCCATGGTGGCATGTCCAGCATGCTAGGGGGTTGTCTATCCTCTATCAACACCTAGGCTCATTTTGAGACCTTAAAATAGCCACCAGAGTTGCAAATGCATTGATCCTATAAGACAAAGTTACTGCCTGAATGGCAGATGAGGAGAGCAGAAGAGCTCCAGAATGGATTTCTGTGGGTGGCAGTAACAAATAGATCACCCCCCAATCCCTGCCCTTACCTCATTGCATTTCTCAGTTCTGTTGGCAGATGCAACAGTTGATAAAGGGGCTGACCAGCTAACTTCCTCCTAGTACATCAACTGCCAAGTCACTGGAGAGGAAGTCAGGCTGGGGGACAACAGAGCTGTATCCATGTGTGTTACTTAGATCAAGATCGTGTTCATAAAAGTGCTGGATGAACCCTTCAGGGAGCCAGGCAGTCATAGATATGGTGAACATCTGGTGGCTCAAGGGTTGGAAACAGCCTCTCATTGAGTCCTTCTTTAAAAAAAAAATAATTAAGAAGACATTATTTTAAAATATACTCATTGTTGTGGGAATTTCACAAGGCATGTTAACCTATGGTTACATGGTGAAAAAAAGCAGCAGCTGCTGGTGTGAGTCACCAGCAGACAATCCCAAAGTGCATTACTCAGAAGAAAATAAACAACAGCATCTTGTTAGCAGAAAAATGAGTTTTGTTCTTCAAAAATCTTTGTCAAATTTGCCACCAGATGCATAGCAATGAAGATGAAAAATGGTCAAGAAACCACATTCTGTATTTTAAAACCAAAATGAGATGAGACTGAAAGAGAGACGTCAAATGGGAATACACAGGCAGAGCAATATGGCTCGAAGGAGCGGTGCCTCTGCTCTGGACAGAGTGACAATGCACAAAGTCACCCGGGGTCACCTGCACTGTCCCAGATTCCCAGCCACCAGCCAGAGGCAGCCTGAAAATACAGAGCCCGCCAGCCAGGGGACAGCAGCACATACATCAATGTCAGCATGACAGTGCTGACCTCAGAGGTGCAGTTCTGTGGCCCAAGCACCCCATGCAACGGGGAGGATTTGGCATCGCATCCGTTTCAGACTTCCTGAATCTCAGAGGCAGTGGCCATGGGCTGAGCAGACACTAGCAATGCTGGGTTAAGCCCTGGCTTGCTCCACCAGGTCAGGGAAGTAGGAGCCTTGGTTCATGTACCAAGGCTCATTTGGGTGAGAAGTGTCCTACTTTCTGGAGAAATGGTGCTATTCGCACATTAAGATGCTGAGACCTCAGCAACATAGACAAAATCAAGCAGGTTTGCCCCAAACCAGCCTGTTTCCCATTTCTTTTCAGTCCTAATGGCTCCCACTCAATCTAGTTCCAGAAAGGACCAAACAGCTCCACTTGGGAGGAGACCATAAAGGTAAATTTTTCACTGTTCCCACCAAAGTAGAGATGTGAGGCTCCCAGACTTCCAAACAACCGCAGCCTGTAATGAACTGTTCTCCCTAACAGCCAAGGTACCCTGAGCAGTTATCAGAGCTGAAGGGCTTAGCCATGTCCAGCAAAGGCTGAAAAGGAAGGGCTCCGCACAATGTCACACGATATAAATAGCCTGGCACAAAGACAGCATGACCCACATGTGCCCTGTTTGCACAGCAGAATCAAAAAGGCCAGCAATGTACAGCATGTATAGGGAACAGGGTTCCTGTGGGACTTCTGCTGAGTAACACTGCACCAGCTGTGACTAAAATAAATAGCAAAATCAAGTGAATTATCTTTGTTGGGTTTAATGAGCCATTTTTATCCCTACTTCATCCGAGATGTTCTCAGGTATTGTGCAGAGGTTGCAGCATCCCCTATACATGCTGCAGGTACAAAACTGGATTACTCACAGCCTCTTCACTAGTCAGGCCACATCAACCAGACAATTCAAACAAGAAGGGGTCCTGGCAGCACGACCACCACAGCAGCAATCAGCACAGAACAAGTGGCAGCCATACAGAGCCCACCAGGCTGCAACAGCTCCCAGCTATGGACAGACCCCTGGCTGAGAGATCCAAGAAGGAACAGGGATCACAGTCCATACACTGGATGGATAGTCAGCAACTTCAAAGACCTTTGCTTTGTGAAGAGTTGGGAACATATGAAGTGCCCAATACACTAAACAAGCAGAAGTCCAGTAACGTGACCCTGGCAACAACCAGCAGGAACTATTAACAGTAAGGACAAGGAGACAGCATGTTCCCTCCTTAGATGGACTGTTTGACCTACCCTTGGACTGCATGTGACTGGTGTATAACCTAGCAGCAAGATGTGGAGAAGTCTGGGGATGCTGCAGACCCTGCTGCTCTACCACTGCTGGGTGAACCTCAGTTTCCTCTTCCCAAATCTTTAGACCTGGCATAAGAGTCCAGTCACCCCCTACTTGACAAGGCTGCTGCAATAGCAGGGCTAGAAAACACGCATGATATCACAGGAAAATATAAGTCTGAAGGGACCTCAGAAGGTCTCTAGTCCTACCTCCTGCTCAACTGTATTGATCAGGAAGGACATTGTTACATGTGAATGGCTTTCTGCAACATCCAGCCCCATTTGGTGGTTATTGAAAGCCTCCATAGCCTCTAAGCATGTTTCTGTCATGGTTTTTCCATCTGGAGTCATAGCAGGTCACTGTTTCCTGGGCTGGAGATGCTGAGCTTGTTCCATGGCCGCAAAAGCAGTAGCTCAGAGAAGACAGTATTTGTGCAGGTGCCTGAGCCAGACTGGATCATTGCATGGGATTCAAAGAGGCAGCATCTCTGCTGTTTTTCAGAGGTGCTTAAGCCATGCCTTCTCCAAAACACTCTGAAAGCAGATCAAGGTCACAAGAATGTAATTTACTAAACAGAGACTCTGTTATTACTTGTATTACCTCTTGAGTTGTTTGACGCACTTCAGCTGGATTTGTAGCCTCCTTGGGAACATGAAAAATGCTTCAGCTCTAATAAATAGGAGCCATGAGAGAAGGTCAGCACCAAAACCATCCCAGTTCTTGCAGGAAAGCTGTCCCACCCCTGGAAGTTGTCCCATGTTGGGGCAGGGATCACAACCACGAAGCCCTGCCCAAATACCTCACACATGTCTATGTGCAAGCTCCCAGCAGGGAACAGCACACCAGAAAACACCTCTGGCAGTGAGAAGTTGCATTATCCCTTGTAGAAAAGCCCTGAGTCAGACACAGATGACAGGATGGAAAATCTTGCTCTCTGACACCCTGAGGTCAGTAAAGCACCTTAAAACAAGCAAAGACATTTCTAGTCGTAGCAGGAGCTCCCCAGCATGCATCCTCCCAGGCCAAGCCTGTTTCCAGGGCACCCATGGGAGATGCATGCTGCATGGCTGGGCAGCACATGATGCTGGCACCCAGACAGGGAAGCACCACACAAACCATGGCAGCAGGGGCAGAAAGCTGAGGTGAATGGCCAGTTGGAAACTGTGTTTTCAATTCTTCATGTTCCCTTACAAAATAAGTTTATCCTTGAGTGACCCAGTTCCAACTTTGCCAACAAATGCAAAGGAGTCCAAGCAGTGAATACAATCAACCCCACCATTAATGTGAAGTCTAAGAGGAGTTTTGTGAAGTGTAAGAGGAGTTTTGGAGAAGACCTCCAAGATGGACATGTCATTGCCAGTCTCAGCACAGGACTCCCATCTCCACTGGGTGCTCTGAAGTCAGCAAGGAAAGAGGAGGAAAGGAGCAAGCTTTCATGGAGGGGCTGGTTATATCCCCCTCTCCCATGAAAGGTCCTTCCTGATCAGGGTCTTCCAGCACCCCAGGAAGGCCAACAACCTAAGCAACAGTAATCTTCAGGACTGGATGCCACTGAGATGCCAAACCTCACCCCACTTGCACATATCAAGTGATGAGCTATAGGGTAAAACTCTTTGAGGTCCTTCCTGGGAAATGCATGTCTGCATTGGGACCAGGCTGCTCCTGGTGAGGGAAACTGGCAAATTTCAGCAATTCTCAAAGTGGTCTGACATGCAGGTTTGGGCTGGGCATCTCAGCTCTCTGGCATGTTTACCTGACCTTTCTCGCAGCTCAACCCCAAGGCTCTTGTCTTGGTATTTGATACTCCACTAAATCTGACAAGATTTCAGAAAAGAAATGAGAACAGTGGTTATATTTTGTTGTTTACAACAAAGCTGTGTTTCAGAAGTACACGCTCTAAAAATGTCTAGATTAAAACACACTTTTCTCCTTTTAGTTTTTTTTTATACTCAGCTAACCTACTTTCTCCCAGATCAAAGCCTGCCCTGTAACATGCCTGCACTGAAATTACCATCACAACTGCAAATACATCCTTAAGATAATGCAAGAGTCATTCATTCAGACCTTCATCACTACAACAAAGTTGTGCCTCCACCCGTCCTGTCTGACAAACCACATCCTCAGCCCCCCAGAGCCATGACCCCGACAGCCTGCCAGGACCCCCAAGCAGCAGACACATGAGATTTTGCTGCCCAGGCAATACCAGCTGGATTGTGTCTGCACACAACCTATTCCACTCTGTCTCTTCCTATCAGAGTTTCCCCCTGTCCTGCTGCAATTAGACTGGAGGAAATCACAGGGCAATGACCTCAGCCTACCAAATTACAGCAGTGCCTCTCCAGTAGCTCTGTGAACCTGCTCTGATGATATTTTCCATTTAATAGAAGCAAGCATTTAGCAAGCAGCCCATGTCAAAAGACTCTCACTGCCATCGAGACCTGCCCGTTACCTGAACTAGAAGGAAACAAAGTGATTTGCCTTCACCAACAAGCAGCACTTTATGTATTTACCTCCAATGGCGCCGGCAATGAAATCCATCCAGACTGAGTCTGCTGCCTTAATTACCCTGATGAAGCGTTAGGGAGGTAGAAGAAGGCAGGATACCAGTTCCGACTTTCCAGAGCCCTTCAGGTCCTCCAGCCACAGTGTGATTTGCAACATGAATCACCTTCCTACTGTCTTCTTTTGCCTCTGGGGATCGTGAGCCTTGTGGATACTTGATCAATTTGTACACTGGAGGCAGAAACAGGAAGCCTTGAGCTGCTCCAGGAACACAGCGAATAAGTAATCCCGTGAAGCCCCGCAACGCTGTGCCAGAACTGCTGTTCCCAGTGCCTTTCTGCTTGGAAAATCACAAGGGGTGGTGCCTTGCAGGGTAACACTGGCTGTGAAGGGGCCATTCCCCAGTGTACTTATTAACCCCGGAAGACAGCCTTGTGTACCTGTTTGCCAGAGGACACTCTTGCCCTGAGCCATGGAGAAGCATCACAGGTGGGTGTTTATGAGACGCCTCCTCCCCCACATCCCAGCCCACCTTTCCTCTTGCTGATGGAGCAGACCCCCTTCCCATCAAGGAAAATTCCTTGAGCAAGGAATTTTCCTTGCCTTTCTTAACCCACACATCTGACCCTAAACCTCTAACCGAATCCCCACAAATTATTACCTGCTAATTGTGTACATATGTGGTGGATCCCAGAAATGAATATAACCACATGCAAAGCATTTGCTTCCCTTTTATACCTCAGGGTAGTTTTCCCAGCCCCTCCAGGAGCTCTTCTTCTGTGGTTCTTGCTCAGTCTCCCAACCTCTTTTCCAATGTCAGCTCCTTGCTGAGTTCAGCAGCAGAACAGGAATCACTATTGTTGCTTCCCATACTCCAGTGTTTTGCCCTGCAGGGGAAATGTGAGACAGATTTTGCCAGGAGACAGGTCCAGCACCTCATTTTTACTTCCTAATTTACATGCAGCACAGGGTGGTGATCTCAGGGGGGGAAACAGAAAAGCACAGAGGGAGACCTGCTGGTTATGGCGAGCCAAGAGCTCAAGAAAATGCCGTATTGTGTATTTTTGCACAACAGCCCTGTGCCAGAGGGCGGCCACATCCACACAGAAGAGGTTAAGTTTTGCATGAGGTGAATGAGCCCTGATGCAGCGAATGGTTTGCCAAGTCTTGACCTGAACTGTACTCCTCTTGAAGAGGTTTCCCCAGGTCAGAGCCAAGGCAAATTGGCAGTAAAAGGGAAAAGAAAATTTCACAGCTGCTGCCCCTTTGGGTCAGCTTCACAGAGGAGCTGAGGACTTTAACCTCCCTGTGCTTTCTCCTGCACATTTCACAAGAACATTTACCTCACTAAAGTGCATATGTTGGATGGGCTGATGCATCAGCGACATACAGCACAGCTCAGTGTGAGCACTCACAGCTTCTGGGAACTGAAAATTAAAGGATTTTTAGAAACTTGCTTCCCAAAATTTCTTACACATCCTTCCCTGAACATTTCCTGTGCTGGAGAAAAGAGTTTATTCCTGTGTAACATCATGCAAGGACAGCAAAAACTTAAAACCAGAAGTAAAATATTATCTAGAGAGATAGCAATGTAGCTGCTAAAACACACCGAGTTATTCAGTAGCTCTTCCTTGTGACACTTGGTGACCACACAGGAGTTATCAACGGTTCATCAAGAGTCTGTGCATACCAAGTGAGTGGAAAGGTGCTGTATTTCCTTCTCCAACCAGCCATTCCTGGCTGCTGTCCTTGCAGGCCCCCTCCACTAGCAGGATCGAGTGTGGAACCTGCTGCATTAGTGACACATGGGGACAAGGACACTGTCCCCTACTGGGGGGCAGCCCAGAACCCTGCATCCTCTTGGTCATGCAGGGACCAGGTGACCTGCCAAGCTGCTCCAGCCCACCCTGCAGCAGTCACCCCTCTTGGGGACCACTGTTCAGACACTACTGCTTAATATTGCTTTTCTGGGAGCAGACAAAGTGAAGAAATTAATGATATTCCCAAAATGAAGTGTCACTGTGATTTCCCTCCCATCACACAGCCAAGGGTGTCACTTGAGGACTTTTCTAGGCATTGCAGTGGCTGGTGCCATATCAGCAAGAAAACAGAGCCTGGGTGCCATGTCTCACAGGCTGACTGAAGTGTCAGGGCTAATAAGCATTTCCCATGAAAAGTTGTAAGACCACAACAGAATTTCTGCCTTCCTTAGCTCAGCTGAACAGCTCAAAGGGAATCTTCCTCATGAAACCTGAGATTGTAAACAAAGCAAAAAAAAACACAAAAAAATCTTCCTGTTACAAGGAAGTAACATTTTTTTATAATTTTAACCTTTGTTCACACCAATACTTCTATTAAAAAAACAAAACAAAACGTTACTTTGCTTTATATAGCACAAAGCTGAGTCCAGACTCAAGCATTTTGATAATCTGATAATGGTTTGGATAGCTGAGGTGTACTGGGAGAAGTCATGTTTTTCACTTAACCAGAGTTGCTCTGGAAAGAGAGGCCGTTCAAAAGGTGGCCATCTGAAAGAACAATATTTTGGGGCTTAAGATATTTCACCTTGTCCAGTGGAGGTGTGGCTGGGGGCAGCCAGCTCTGGAGGAATGCACACACACAGCCACTTCAGGGACATTTGCTGTGACGGGTGCTCAGCAGGGTAACACGAGCCCCAAGCAAACCTTGTCGGTGCTACTGTAGTCTCCAGTCCTTGGCTCCTGGTGTCTGGCCAGGACTTGAAGACAAATGTCATCCACCACCCCGCTCATCAGCTGTGTGGGACCTGCTCAGCCGGGCCACCATGTGACTGCAGCAAGGGCAGAACCTGCTGGAAGAGAAGCCCTGTGCAAGTGTTGAAGTGTTCACACAGGAGCAAGTACAGGATGTAATCCAGTCTGAAGCAAACCCTGTCTGAGAAATTAAACCGATGTCACTGTGTTTGATGCTATTTTCTGGCTCATCTCAAACAGTAGAGACTAGGTCCCCACTAAAGAGAGAGAGATCCTCAAGGCAACAGTGCAGCTCCTAGAGATGTAGAGTCCTTGAGGTCTCGCCGTCCTTCATGCCTTGCTGAAGGATCTTCCTCCTTCATCCCCTCTTCCCCAGGTTTCATAGATACACCAGTTCTCAGATACCAGCTTCATTAGAAATACTTGAATCCAGCCCCTCCCAATGCCACAGGTCAACAGACACAGCCCAACAAATCCTGCCCAAACAAGCCTTGAATTATCAGGAAGTTCTTCAGGTTCAAATAAGAGTAATTCCTGTCATCCTTTGACACGGTATCCAAGGACCGACAAAGACTGCTGCTAGTCCAGCTTGTGAAGAAATGTCGTGGTCCATATCTGTGCAGGGATGAGTGACTGTGCCTGGTCTCAACCCAGTTGGTCTTCTCAGAGCATATCCTAAGAAAGGACACACAAAAAGCAGGCTTTGAGGCTCCACAAGGGACAGTACGCTGCTAGAAACAACTCACAAGTCCTTTCCTCCAGCAGCAAAGCTGTTTAAGAGCCATTTGTTGCAAATGGGTGAATTTCACAGAGGATTTTAAGAAAGCAGAGCATGGAAGGTGCTGTCAGATGAAAAGGCAGCTCTGACGATATGAAGCAATCTGCAGGAAATTATGGAACTAAATGACAGAAAAGTGAGGAAGGCCTTAGTTTTGCACAATGCATGATTTCTGAAACACTCCATTTGTTTCACAGGAAGAGGCAGCTGCCTGCCCACCCAGGCAGAGAAAGCTGCTCCACAGCTATAGCAGCAGGGGGGTTAGAGGACTGCTGCAAGTGTATGGAGCAAAAGGAAAGGTGGGCAGGGAGACCTTAGGTGGTTAATCAATGTTATGTAATATCTTTTAGGTGAGACCAAAAAAGCAGGGGCCTCCCTTTACCACTCTTCTTCCATAGATCACTCCCAGGACGTTCCCAACTCCACCTGTCCTGCAAAGCAAAAGCTCTTCCGCCTCTGCAACCACCCGCTCGCTCATAGGCCAGTTTTGCTGAGAAAATGTTCCAGCCTTGTCTCATGTCACAACATGCTGCATTATCTATTCCCCGTGCACTGTGTGTTATCACACTCGCATGCACATCCATTAATTCCTGTCTGATTTATTTTAGAAAAGCTCCTGGGCTGCAGAGGCTGTTCAAACAACGTGACCCTCCACGTCACCCGGCTGTTTGCACATTGCAGAACAGGGGAGAGTGGCACCAGCACTGCTGAGCTGGCAGAGCCCGGAGCTTGGCTTGGCTGGTGGTGGGTGGAAAGGGGGGTGGAACCTTCTGGCTCCAGCTGTATTATGGATTTTCAAATCAAAGTGTCTCATTGTCCTTTATCTCAGGTACTCATGAAAAACACAATAATTTCAAGG